TGCAGGATCAGACGAAGAACAATATGACAGAAGCCGTAGTAGACTGGCAGGTGCTCAAGTTTCAGCCGTGGAACAGCGCGCCGGACGTGTCCTTCTGGCAGACGCTCGCGTCGCTCAAGCTTGACAAGTTCCAGCTGAACGACCAGGCACAAGTAAGCGCGCACAGCAATTGAAGCGAGCAACAAGAATCTAAGTTTTCGAACCGATGGTGTATACAGGACATTACGGGTTATTTTACGCCAGGGAGGTCCGTGAACGTCCCTGCACGCTTCACTATCGACGAGAGTGCTTTTGCTAGTGCGCAAGGGACCCAAGAGAGCAGGTAAAGCCACGGTATAAAATATGTGATCCAACCGAGTCTCATATTTTATATGTGGGTTGGTAGGGACGTGGATCGTGCTCGATACGAGTGGCAAGCCCCTGGGCTGCTGTTCAACACAAATACCCTAGAGGTTGGTGCTGGTGAACTACTAAACTTTATGTTCCCTCAAGTAGACGATGCGACTCTTACAATTAATATTATTAATGCAGGATTTTAAGAAGCTGGACAAGGCCAAACTGCTTCGAGATGCCGGAGACAAGATCTTAGATCTAATACTTGGGAACGAGGACGAGGACATCTCCACCGACCACCTAAACAGCTTCGTGTTGATCACTTTTGCCGACCTCAAGAAACATTCCTTCCTGTACTGGTTCGGCTTTCCGGCGTTGTCTCCCCCAGCCTCATTCCAGTATCGATCTCCTCCTTCGTCGGTATCCTCGGTTTTGTCGTCCAAAGAGCAGGTTCAGACGCTTCGAGGTCTGCTTAAGTTGCGCCAAGTGAACTGTGAGACTGGTGCAGTGGAGGGCAACTTTGCGTCCTTCTTCGTGGTAGAACGTCTGGCAAATAGTGACTGCATCGTGAGAGTTTTGGATATTAAGACGTGGAGAGCAGCAGATCATACCACAACAGACGTAGTGGACACGCTCTTCGGCTTCGTCGACCCTTGTCCATTGAAGACGAACCCTGGGTGGCCTCTACGCAACTTTCTGGCGCTCTTGACAGCACTACCGGGTGAGAAAGTGGACTGTTCGCAACCCCTGAAGATCATTTCGTTCCGAGAGCATGTGCATCAGTTCACTGACGTCCCTGAAGACTTCGAGTGGAAAAATTCCGTCATCTTTGAAGTCAAAAGCGAGCCGTTCATGGCCAACGGCCGGTCCCGACAAGATGTGCGTGTTATGGGCTGGGAAGCGAACGTTCGCGGCAAAATGGGACCTCGAGTGATGGAACTTGGAGGCATTTTGGACCCAATTCGACTCGCAGAGACGTCGGTGGATCTGAATCTCAAGCTGATGAGGTGGCGTCAATTGCCGTCTCTGGACTTGGAGCTGTTAGCTCAGACCAAGTGTTTGCTGCTTGGCGCAGGGACTCTCGGCTGCTATACTGCTCGCAGTCTGCTCTCGTGGGGTTTCCGCAACATCACCTTTGTGGATAACTCCACTGTGAGTCACTCGAATCCTGTTCGCCAGCCACTTTTTGAGTTCCAAGACGTCGGCAAACCCAAGGGCGAGTGCGCTGCTAACGCTTTGAAGCGCATTTTCCCACTCGTGAACTCCCAGGCAGTGAATCTGACAATCCCCATGGCAGGACATGCATTGAGTAGCCCCCAGTTGATGGACGAAGCCAGAATCGGATTGGAGACACTGGAACAGCTAATCGAGTCGCATGACGTCATCTTTCTAGGCACAGACTCCCGTGAGAGTCGCTGGCTTCCCACTGTGATCGCCTCGTCCAAGAAGAAACTATTTCTGAATGCAGCGTTGGGCTTCGACGGCTACCTTGTGATGCGTCATGGCGTTCATCCTGATGGTGACGCTACTAAACCATCGCTGGGCTGCTACTTCTGCAATGATGACAATAGTCCACCGTAGTCAATCCCGAACTGTTGGCAATTCCTTCTTACAACTAATCTTGCCTTAAACCTATCCACAGAACCACCGGCATGGTATTTT